ATGCAAAAATTGCGAGGGGACTGGTCCCCTAACAAAACAGAGGGTCGCAAATTTATTTGCAAGGACTTTCCACGTCGCCACACCGTATCAACCAAAATATACTACAACGTCCTGCGTATTTATTCGGACAATTCGACTATATCTGGCTAAGTAATTTTCTGCTAAAATACTAATGTTTTCGGTTCTGTACTACTATCTCTAATTTCATACCGTTTACTGCTAGTCACTTATTAATTATATTATCTCTCATGTTACTAACTTATATTTACTAGTAATCCATTAATCATTTAGGGTAGAATACCTTAAGAATTCTAATTATTATACTGAGAATATTACACGAAATTAATTAACCAATTAGCATGCACAAGAGCGTTAAGGAATAAGAAAGAGTATGTGTCCCTCAAAATGTGCACATGAACATAAAAAAAGAATTAATAAATACATGTGCCTCTCGACACAGTGGCCATGCCGCTCGACACCTCCCCCTTATGCCTCTGTGCCGGTTGACACATACCATGCCCCCTCGGCACAACTTATTAATTGATTCTCATTGTTGATCTTGGAGTCATCTTCTTGAGGACTATCTAAAATCTCATCATCATTATTTAAAACAGTAGTATCCTCCTCGGAGGGGTTAGATTCATCAAATGATACATGCATAGATGTTAGAACAAAGTTTGAATCTACTACCCTATATTTAAGTTTTGATGATAACAAAGTGAAAAGATATATTATTTGTAAGATTCATGTATGAACTATCTGCTGCCTAAAATTACTATGTTCTGACTTGCAGATACTCTGATTGATATAAGCAAGATCACACCTATTCAGCTTCAGAATTTGGTTTCAGACATCAGCATCAGAAGTTGCCATATCAGAATGTCAGAATCAGATGATCAACTCACGTACATGCTGAAGCCTGATGAACAAGACTGCGCTCAACACTCTGATAAAGAAACACAACAGTTCATCAGCAGCTAAGCAGAGTCAGAATGAGCCAAGCCAGAACTTGCATTAAGTAAGCAACGGTACTGTGCATTGAAAGCAAATTAATACCAACGGCCTCATTCCAGACAAGATCTGCTCGATAAGGAAAGTTTGTTATTAGCATTGAATCAAGAATATTTCATCCAACGTTCAACATTTCAGTGCTATATAAACAAGACTTTGAAGATTGAAATGGCTAATGCTCTCCAAATCTCTACACGCATAAAAGTTGATCAAAATCTTCCTTCTCTCAGTTTTGCTAAACACTACACATTCTGATATTCTATCATAGTTTAGCAATCTAGTTTCTAAGCTTTAAGTTGTGTATACATCACAGTTGTGATACAGTTTTGTAGAAAACATTCACACACTTAGTTTTATCTCTTTGTAAGAAAGTGTTTCCTTGACAAACCGGGTTGTGGTTTGGATCAAGAAGGCTTTAGCCGTTGTTAAAGCAGTCTGTAATATTCAGTTGAATATAGTGGATTAAGACCTCGTTGGAGAGAGGCGAAATCACCTTGACGGATGGACTGGAGTAGTTTGAGATCAAACGAACCAGGATAAAAATATCTTGTTCATTGCATTAGATTTCAGTTTTACAATTCAACCCCCCTTCTTGTGTTTTTCACTACTTCAATAGATTCCTCAATAGTTAAAGTTCTTTTATTGTAAATACGATAAGCTTTACTAGATAAGGAGTATCCAAGAAAAATACCTTCATCTGATTTTTCATCAAACTTACCAAGGTTGTCTTTGTCGTTGTTAAGGACAAAACATTTGCAGCCAAAGACATGAAATAATGAAATATTTGGTTTCCTTCCTCGAAAGAGTTCATATGGAGTCTTCTTCAAGATAAGTAAAATATTAACTCTATTGCTTACAAAGCATGTCGTGCTTACAGCATCCGCCCAAAAGTATTTTGGAAGGTTTGAATCACTAAGCATTGTCCTTGCAAGTTCAATAAGAGACCTATTCTTCCTTTCTACAACTCCATTTTGTTGAGGAGTCCTTGGTGCTGAGAAATTATGTGATATTCCATGTTCTTCACAGAAATCTTCAAAGGAGGAATTCTGGAATTCTCCACCATGGTCGCTTCTTATGGAGGCAATAGATAATGACTTCTCATTTTGAATTTGCTTTGCATATTTCTTGAACGCCTTGAATGCATCATTTTTCTGCACTTTAAGTTTAGCCTCATGTGTGACTTCATCTTCTATCAAACATTCATCTTTAGTGAACTTGATCTTGAAGCCTTTGTCACATAGTTGGCTAATGCTTAGAAGATTGTGCTTTAGTCCTTCGACATAAAGAACATCTTCAATTGATGTGAAAGGTGGACCACCAACTTTGCCTATGCCAAGAATCTTTCCTTTGTTGTTATCTCCATACGTCACATAACCCTTGGCCTTAAGTGTTAGATGTGAAAATTTGTCGATATCTCCCGTCATATGCTTGGAACAACCACTATCGAGATACCATAGATTTGAAGTGGTCGTCAAGCTTACCTACAAAACAAGATTAGGTTTTGTTAGGTACCCAAGTTGCTTTGGGTCCTTCATAATTAGTTCCTTTCTTAACCCACACATAATGCCCATTTGCCATGCCAAAGTTTCTAACATAACAAGCATTAGGTGTGTGTCCTCGAATACCACAATAAAAACAAGTAGGTTCAAATTTACTTCTATATCTAGAAGGATAATATTTCTTTTTAGAGGGTATTTTCTTTTTAGGATAGTGATGAACTATTTTTGGAGTGATTTCTTTCTCTTTGGTTGGTTGGTCGCTAGCCTTGACAAAGATGGTTTTGTTGGAACTTGGTTTTGAAAATTTTGAGTATCCAAGACCACTTTTGTCATTTGAGTATCTTTGTTGTCTAAGAACGCCTTCCAATCCAATTTGTCCTTTTTCATACCTTTCAATAACCCTTTTCAATTGGACAATTTGGAAGGAGAGAGATTCACACTTTGTGCATACAAAATTATGTTTTTCATCACTAACTTTTTGCTTTTCATCTTTGAGATCTTTTTCAATAGATCCACATTTTTCTTCCAACGATGAAATTTGTTTCTTTTGTGATGAGATAGTTTTGTACAGAATCTTGCATTCATTTAACAGTTCATTTATAGCACCTTGTGCATCACTATCAAAAGGAGAGAATACGTTACTAACCTCATCATGTTCGCTTTCGGAGTGGTGTGATGCCATTAACGCAAGATTTGCACTTTCGTCGCTATCGGAGTCGGATGATGAACTTAGTTCAACATATTCCTATGCAACATATGCTTTCTTGTCTTTTGATTCCTTCTTGCCTTTGTAGCCACTTTTCTTTGAAAGTTTTGGACAGTCCGGTTTGATGTGACCTTGTTTACCACATTCATAACAAGTAACTTCTTGTGTTGATGAGGGTCCTTCCTTCTTCTTGAAGTGTTTCTTCTTCTTTGAGTGCGAGAAGGCTTTGTCATTTTACCAAAGAATTTTCCAAGTCTTATAACGAGAAGCATGAAGTTTTCATCTTCATCAGGATTATCTTTCTTTTCGTCTTCCTTGGAGTCAATCTTCAAGGCAATGTTCTTAGACTTCTTTTCTTGATTTTCACGTTTTTCCAATCAACCAAGTCCTGTCTCGTATTCTTGAAGTTTCCCGAACAAAGTTGCGGATGTCATAGTAGCGAGACTCTTCTTTTCTGAGATTGCCGTTACCTTTGGTTGCCATTCTCTAGTCAAGGATCTGAGCACTTTTAGGTTCAATTCATCATTAGTCAATGTTTTGCCAAGTGCCCTTAGATAATTTGTTAGATGCACAAATCTCTTTTGTAAATCAAGAATGGATTCTCCGGGTTGCATGCGGAACAATTCATATTCTTGACTTAACGTATTAAGTCTCGATCTCTTTACTTCAGTTGTTCCCTCATGTCTTTCAACCAGTGTATCCCAAATTTCTTTTACCGTTGTACATGCTGAGATACGGAAGAATTCATCCATACTAAGTGCGCTTTGAAGGAGGTTTATTGCCTTTTTGTCATACAAGACCTTTTTCTTATCATCATCATCCCATACAGTTTTAGGCTTTGATGAACCAACGCCGTTTACAACAGTTACCGGAATAAAAGGGCCATTTTGGACAGCATCTCATATTTCTTCTCCTTGTGCTTCTAGATGAGCCTTCATACGGATCTTCCAGAAATCAAAATATTCACCACATAATAGAGGAGGCTTGTTGCTACTGCCACCGTCTCTGAACACAGAATTGTTGTTTGTGGAAGCCATTCTGGATCTAGTAGGAACAGGTTACCTATAACCCGCTCTGATGCCAATTGTAAGTTCAGATGCGCCTAAGAGGGGGGGGGGGGGGGGGGGGTGAATTAGGTTCTTTAAAACTTTTTCTGAATTGTATGAATATTTTTTCACGAGTTTCTTTTCTTTCTTTTTCTGATAAGTGATGAAAGCAGTAAATGTGGAAAGTAAAGAACACAAAGATGTATCCTGGTTCCCCTCACAGTCCGAGAGTACTCCAGTCCCCTTTCAACATGAAAGAGATTTCCTTATTGTTGGTAATTTGTACAAAGACTACCTAACAAGCCAAGAACAATCCTCTTGGACCAAGAACAATCCTCTTGGATTTTCACTAAGACCACAAAGAGAACAATCCTCCCTAAGTGTCTTTCTTGTTTTCAACAATCCTGAAAACAAGTATACAATAGTTTGTTTGATTTGTATAAGAGTTTGAATAATGAAAGAGCAATTTCAATCACTTTGATTGATCTTTTCTATTTAATATGAAATTTAAGATGTAATACTCTTCTAAGGGCTCAAGAACAATTTTCAGTATGCATATGAAAATGATGAACAAAAATCTTGAGTAGAGAGTATGATCAAAAGAATAGAAAGTTGTTAGTGATTGTTGTAATGATTTTCTTTGATTGATTTTTTGATAGATTTTCAAAATTCTAAAAGAAAATAATTTATAGTGTAGTAATACCTCTTCAATGAAACACTCTTGCCTCCATGCCAAGCATGAAACAAAATGGAGGGAGAAGATTGTTATCAGATGGATTTCCACATTGGCTTTCAGGTTCCGATAGAAAGCTTCTTCAAGCAACACCAAGTGCTGATATTGTGGTGGCACAAGATGGAAGTGGGAACTATAAAACAATATCAGAAGGTGTAGCCGCTGCTTCTAAGCTTAGTGGAAAAGGAAGAGTTGTTATTCATGTGAAAGCAGGAGTATACAAAGAGAACATTGATATAAAAAAGACAGTGAAGAACATAATGATATTTGGAGATGGAATGGATTCAACAATTGTTACCGGTAATCATAACACTCAAGATGGTTCTACCACTTTTCGTTCAGCTACTTTTGGTAAGTTATTTAATCGTCAATCACTATCTAAATATAAATTATAAACACTTTTGAATTAAGTGAATCACTATCTACACAAATATAAGACAGTGACAGATAAAAACTTCATTATATATTTTATCTGAAAAAAGCTAATAATGAAAAATGAGTGCAGCGGTAATGGGAGATGGTTTCATAGCAAAAGATATGACGTTCGAGAACACTGCCGGACCACAGAAGCACCAAGCGGTGGCTCTCCGTTCGGGCGCCGATCACTCGGTTTTCTACCGCTGCTCCTTCAAAGGCTACCAAGACACTCTATATGTTTACGCCACCCGTCAATTCTACCGCGACTGTAACATCTACGGAACAGTCGATTTCATCTTCGGTAACGCAGTCACTGTTCTACAAAACTGCAACATCTTAGTTAGAAAACCGATGAGCAACCAACAGAACACCGTAACGGCACAAGGAAGAACAGATCCAAACGAGAACACCGGAATAGTGATCCATAACTGCCGAATAACCGCCGCGGGTGATTTGAAACCAAGTCAGAATTCAGTGAAAAGTTATCTGGGTAGACCGTGGCAGAAGTATTCAAGAACGGTAGTTATGAAAAGTAACATTGATGGAGTTATAAATTCACAAGGTTGGGCTCCATGGAGTGGTGGTTTTGCTTTGAGCACACTTTATTATGGTGAATATATGAATGTTGGTGATGGTGCTAATACAAAAGGGAGAGTGAATTGGCCTGGTTTTCATGTTATCACAAATCCTTCTGAAGCAGTTAAATTTTCTGTTAGTAACTTTTTAGCTGGTGAATCTTGGATTTCTGGTGTACCGTTCGATGCAGGCTTATGAAAGTGATATGGGGAAGAAGACTTGAAATCATGACTTTGATTTCTTAGTATAAAGGTGCTTGTATTGAAAGTGGAAATATGTATTTTTTTTTTGTCTGTTAATATTTAATCTCAATAAAGTTGTAAAGATAAAATAGTGTTAACTTAGTTTCTTCCTCTTATATTACTATTTAGTTTGTAATTTTGTATACATGTACGTATAAAAGTTTTCTTATTTAAAACGTATATATTTGAGTTTTTTATGCGATTCCGAAGCTTTATTTTTGTCTACCTTCAATATCGTCTTTTTTTCTGTCATGTTTCCAGATTGTGATTTTTTTTCTTCCAAGTTTTTTTTTATTTTTTATTTTGAAATATTCAAAATTTTAATTGATTTTGAAATAATATAATTTGAATTATATTTAAATATTAAATCTATTTTAATATTTCAACACTCATCCGTAATCTAAGTAATTGAATCTACACACTACAAGAAATATCATCTTCAACCACATGTTTTTGCCACGTGATTATCATATGGCTAAAAAAAGTCAGTTGCGACGTGATAATCATGTGGCAACATGTTTTATTAATAAAATAAAGAAGTATGATGGTTGTCTGAGTTTTTAAATAAAAAATATGTTGCGACGTGGGAATCACATCGCTAGTAAAAATATAATATAAAATATTTTAATTGGTCTAACGTTCAGATGGAGGGATTTTTGAAATTTTGAAAAAGTCAGTTGTGACGTGGTATTGACGTCGCAACATTTAAGAGGGAAAATCAAATTAATTCAGATTGGCATGATCAGTTTTTGCAGACATGTGAAGAAAGAGAATATGACCGTTGGCATTGTTGCGACGTGAAAATCACGTGGCAAAGTTGCAGCGTGATTTTCACGTCGCTGGATGGTTTATATATTTAATTAAATCACGTTACACCAAGCACAAGACAGTAGTATATTTTCAACAAACACAACCCTCCCTCTCTCATTCCATCCCAATCTCCATTAACCCTATTCTTCTTCATAAAATCCGACTCAATCTCCATTATAAAACCTCTTCTTTTTCATAAAATTCAACTTCAATTTCTATTAATCCTTGTTTTTCAGGTTAATTTAATTTAATTTTATCTCTATTTTGTTTACAAGTTTTTATTTATTGTATTATGTGATTGTAATTTATTTTAATTTTTCTTTGAATAGAAGAAGATTGATATAATAGAAGTAGATTGCAAAAAGGTTGGACAAGAAGATTGAAGGAGTTAGAAAAGAAGAGGTATTTCTTGAATTTTTTTTTACATTTGGTATATTTTCTGAATTTAGTTAGATTTTTAGGTTGAATTTGGTTAAATTATAATATTGTAATTTTCATTAAATATAATTTTAAAAAATGAGAATATATATTATATAGGTACTTCTTGTTAAAAAACGAAAATATATATAAATAAATATTTATTAATAAACAAAAATATATATTATGATAAGTTATATATCTTGATTTATTTAATTTATTTATTATAAAAAACAAAAAAAAAAAACAGAATAATATATAAATTTTATAAAAACAGTTTTAATGTTAATATATATTTTATTTAAAATAAATATAATATAATATTTTATGTATTGATTAAAAACATATATAAAAAAATAGTTTTTTGTATTGAATAAAAATATATTTAAAAAACTGTTTTAATATGTATATATTTAGTAATAATTGTTTAATGTTATTATTATAAAATCTGTTTTATAATTAAAATATATATATATTTAATGTTATTATATTAAGTATATTAATTTATATATTTTGATATATTTAGTTTTATTTTTGATAATTTTGATTTATAATATTAAATTTAATAAATAAATTATAATATTTAATTTATAAATTTAATGAAACAGAAAATAATATTAATTATTAAATCAGAAATATTATATTTAAAACAGAAAATAATTATTTATTTTTTTAAAATAAGTTGTGACGTATTTTCCACATCACAAATTAGTGACATGAAAAACACGCCGCAACAAACAACGTAAAAGTGAATATAAAACCTGCTCTGACCTCTGTTTTGCTCTAACTGCCTTTGACCCCATAAAGTTTGTTGCGGCGTGAATTTCACGTGGCAACATTGTGACATGTTTCCCACGTCGCAACAATATTTCCACGCGCTCTCAAATGACGTGTTTCTTCACGTAGCAAAAACAAAGCTGTGACACGATTTTGGTGTTAGCGACGTGGGAGTCACGTGGCAACACACAACTTATTTTGTAGTGACACTCACTACATAAAATATGTTCTCAAGCGACGTGTTTTAATGATGTGATTATCATGTACTGAAATTTAAAAGTTGTGACGTGATAATTACGTCACTACATTATTTTAACATTTAGATAATAAAAATAAGGTTTGGTCTGCGCCAGTCAGATTTTTTTTGTATAAAAAAGTTGCGACATACACTACAAGAAAAAACAAAATCAACCAGGAAATAATCTTCTCACAAATGACAAAAATCCTTCACAAATGCAAAAATTGCGAGGGGACTGGTCCCCTAGCAAAACAGGGGATCGCAAATTTATTTGTGAAGGACTTTGCACGTCGCCATTTTGCTTGGACTAACTCCCTCGCAAAATGCAATTAAAATTTTCCTCCAAACGACACACAAATGTAGGTGCAGACTAGGAATTCAGATATTGGTGCAGTGTGTCATACATTTTGTTTGAGACTAACCCCTCGGAAAATACAAATATTTTCTATTGGCTAGGGGTTAAGCCCTTGACAAAATGTAAAGAAAAGGCAAAATACCCTTTTTAGTCCTTTAAGTTTACCCCAAGGTCCATTTTGGTCCTTTATCTAAAAAAAATGTCAAACTGGTCCTATAATTCTTTCAAAAGGACCATAGGAGTCCTTTCCGTCCATTTTGGTCCTTTTTGGTTCAGCCCATCCTTCTTTATTTCAATTTGTAACTCCATTATCTTATGTTTCAGCCCATCCTCCTTTTCCTTTAGATGATGTATCTCCATCTTTGCTCCATCAAACTCATTTTGCAGCTTCTCCAATGAACCAAAAAGGACCAAAATGGACGGAAAGGACTCCTATGGTCCTTTTGAAAGAATTATAGGACCAATTTGACACTTTTTTTAGATAAAGGACCAAAATGGACCTTGGGGTAAACTTAAAGGACTAAAAATGGTATTTTGCCTAAAGAAAATTATAAAAAATAAAAATATTAATAGAATAAAAATATATTAGCATTAACAAAAAATATATTATAATATTATAACTATAATTAATATAATTAAAACTATTTTATTATATTATTTTTCTAAAATATCAATAATATTTTCATGATAATATATTTATTGCCTTACTATTTTTTTAAGTATTATAACTAAAAAAATCATTTTACATACTACTATTTTTTTACAAATATTTTTAACTAGTTTCTAGCAAATATTTATGCAAATATCACCCATAATTATTATAATAACAAATAATAACAAACATCACCTATTTAACAACAATCATTTACGATTATAATAACAAACAACACTCATTTACAATTATATACATAGATTTAACAAAAATTAAACAAAAAATATGTACCTTTGATGAACACCCACTTTGAATTTAAATTTTTTTATTATCTTCAATGGTAAAAATATATCTAAAAACATAAAACGAAAACTAAATATTATAGAAAAAACATAAATTAAACATTATATAAAATATAATTTAAAAGAACAATACCTTTAATAATTAATAAAAATGAAAGATGAATGTAGAAGAAGGTGGGATTATGAGAGAAAGAAAGAGAAGAAAGAAAGAGAGAAAAGAAAGACAAGAAGAGACACAAATGAATATGGGAAAGTGAAGAATTTTTTAAATAGTACAAATAGTGAGGGAGTAGCCCTTGGCAAAATGTTAACACGCTTTTCAAAATTCTGCACACTTTTCAATCAACTGCAATTTGCGAGGGGTATCTCAACGCGTAAGCAACAGTCATATTTTGTGAGGTGGAGCCCCTCGTAAAATGCAGAGCGGTAAAATTTTCAAAATTCAAAATTCCATCCTATTTTATTTGTGAGGTACCCATCACCATTTTTTAAATAAAAAAAATTCAGTTTTGTCATTTGCGAGGGGGTTTATCCCAAGCAATGTCAAAATTTAGTGAGGGGTTTATCACCTCACTAAATCCCCTAGCTAATCAAGCTTTTTCTTGTAGTGGTGAGAAACATGTCACAACATAAGAAGTAGAATAAAAAATATTAAGCGGCAGACATTTTGAAGTGGGAATTTTGAATATTTCAAAAAAAATTATTGTGGCGTGTTTAACACATCACAAATATTTAAGAGGGAAAACCCTGCCTTTGACATGATGTGCTTATGAAACGTGCAGGTTGACTGAATAAAAATATAATTATTGTAGAGGTTGCGACGTGAAATTCACGTCGCTGATTGGTTAATATTTAAATTATAACTTTGGGGGTTTCGACGTGAATCTCACGTGACAAGGTTGCGACGTGAAATTCAAGTCGCTGATTGGTTAATAAACATACACGCTCTCTTTCCAGAAACTATTTTTGTTTATTCCACCTTCTTTTTTTTCTTTCTCTCTTCTTTTTTCTTCCATTTCGATTCAATTCCATAATAACATCCATAATCAATTCCAAATTTCTTTTGTAACAAAGGTATAATATTTCTTCAATTTATTTTTAATATTTTCGTTTTAGGTTAATACTGTTTTGTGATGTTGATTTATGTTTTTTTATGTCAAGAAATGGAAGTGATTAGAAGGAAAATTCAACAAAAGGGTTATACAAGAAGTTGAAGGAGATTGAAGAATAGGTATTTATGTTATTTAATTATATTTTCATTGAAAATTATTGGGTTTGGACGTATAATGGTGAAGAACTGTCAAGTAACGTATCAGAGGCTAGCAAAACGCATGCATTAAGTAGTCGACCGCCTATGGAATATGAGGAAAACTTTAATCTGATCGGTGATATGGTTGAGGATGTT